CGTGCTCCTCTTACTCACATTACCGACCTGGTCTCAGGGGGCAATGATATTATCAGTCCCTGCTATCAAACCCTCTAGTTTGGAAACATAGCCTCTCAAACTTTATAACATTCTTTTGAATTTTATTCCTGTCTTTCAGTTTCCTAATATAAAGCTCCTTACCTTTTCTGTTCCTTTATTAAACTGTAGCAATTGTATTATAACACCTGGTGATAATATCTGCTTTCGTTATTTAAAATCTCACTTTGTTTTTATTTGGCGTATATGTGTTCATCTTGTCTCCACAGCTAGATTAGAATCTATATGTTAGATTATGTATTAATCCACCTGTATTATCGGTAGTCCTTCTCAAGCACGATCTCTTCCACCCACTGGCAGCCTCAGCATGGGTGGCTTAGAGACCCCATTCCTCATCCACACTTTAGAAACCAGACACCCTACGGACAACTTTCCCATCAGCCGTAAGCACGATCACTTGACATGGCCAGAGGCCTCCCCTGACACTAAGCATGTGGGCTTAGGATTTAATATGTGTGAACCCTTCTGCCCGACCCCCAGGTATTCGCCGCCAGACTGCCCATTGCGTGAAGAAGGGCCACGGGATGGTGAAAGCTACTTTTTGTGACCCAGAAACACAGCCCAATGGGAAACAGAAGAAGTGCCACGAAAAGGATTGTCCGCCCAGGTAAGCACTGATAAGAATTGGAGCTCTGTGTGTCTGCTTAGAAAGATGTGTGATTGGGGTGCCTGGGTGGCTCAGTCGGTTGAGTGCCCGGCTCTGAGAGCGCCTGGCTCAGGTCATGATCGCAGGGTCGTGAGATCGAGCCCCAAGTTGGGCTCCGAAGTGGGCATGGAAACTGCTTAAGACTCTCTCCCTCTCCCTCTGCCCTGCAAGCGCTTTCCCTCTCTCTCTTAAAAAAAAAAAAAAGCATGATGTCTGATTTAATAGTAATCTAATGCTCAGTGATAAAAGAGACTTGTGAGGCTTTGTTATTAGAATAAGTACGGGGAAACTTACAGGTTCCTGAGGCTGTGCTGTAGGATGCCACCGAAAACTGTGAGTGAGGACATCTTCTCTCCACGGAGCAGTATTTCTTACAAAGCCAGTGTGTTCTGTGTTTGTCTGTTTGGTAAGCCTAAGTCTCAGGGTATGTTGAAGAGAATGCTATATGGATCCCCCCATCGTTTTTGAGCTAACGGGTGCAGCTTTTCCGAGAGCACTGTGCCGGTCAGCGGTGGCGTCCCCCTTCAGACCACATGCCCATCCGCACGTAAGGCAGCCTGCAAGAGTGGCCATCCAGAGCCGGCTTCCCCAGTGTCAGCGCCGTTGACATTCGAGAGGGTAACTCGGTTGTGGGGCTGTGCTGTAGCGTGGTAGGATGTTTCGTGGCACCCCTGGCCTGTATCCGCTTAGATGTTAGTAGCAACTTCCCCCCCTTCCTCTGGGTTGTCACAACCAAAAATATCTTCAGACATTGCCAAGTGTCTTGTAGAGGGCAAAAGCACCCTTGGTTGAGAACCAGCGTTATAGAGCTATTTGCTTGCAGCTCACCATATTGGTTCTAGATACTGGAATCCGACAAGGTGGCTGGAATGTTATTAGGGGCTTAGGTAAAAGAGAGAGAGAGAGAAAAAAAAAAAACAAGAAGAAGGAGGAGGAGGAGGAGGGAGAGAGGCAGAGAGAGGGGAGGGAGAGAGAGAAGGAAGGAAGGGAAGGGAGAAAGAAAATTAATTCTGGAGAGAGTCTTCATTCTCTAGTGACCTCAAGTAGGGCTGCACTTAGGTTGCAGATTCCATCAGGCATTCATTCCAATCCTAAGAAGACACACTAAAAGGAGTTTAGTTAAACAGGAGGGGATTCATTGGTATTATAAATCAAACAAGTGGGGCGCCTGGGTGACTCATTCGGTTAAGCGTCCAACTCTTGATTTCGGCTCAGGTCATGATCTCAGGGTTGTGAGATGAAGCCCTGGGTTGGGCTCCGAGCTGGGCGTGGAGCCTGCTTGAGATTCTCTGTCTTCCTCTGCCCCACCCCTGCCCCACTCTCATGCATGCTCTCTCTCTAAAAAAAAAAAAAAAAATTAATTAAAATAAATAAACAAGTGACTAACTGAACTCTAAATAAGAGCCAGAAGAATGTGATAAATCCGGAAGAACTGGGTAAAAAGAAGAGTCCAGACAAGGCAGGCAATGTTGGTTTCTGGTGGGGGCAGACAGGTGGGACCCAGCAGCCGGAGCCAGAAGATTCATTCTCAGTCCAGCTCTGTGGTTCCTGACAGGGAAGGAGGGGGCTGTGAGGGGGGAGCAGGACCCACCCTGCCTCACCTCACCATGGTCACCTTCCCTGGGCTTTGTCTGTAGCTGCACTTTCTATCATTTCTCCTCCGGGAAGAGGGAGCCAGGAAGGAGGCATGTTTCTTGGGGCTCATCGCTAGCCCGTGGCTCTGCGGGGCTCGTGTGCTTCCTCACACTCCGTCTCCCTCAAGGTTATTGACCTTCTACCAGTAAATTCCTGTTGCGCTCCTGGGACGCTCACGCCTGGGGTTCTCGCCTCGCTTTTCAAAGACACTTGCTCTGATGGGCTGATACCCTCTCAAAACCACAGCTGTTTGTTTCCTGGCTCTAATTTTGTCCCTGGCGTTCAGGTTCTCATTTTCATCGTATTACATAGTCTCCCTCGGCCTGACTCTTGCCAGCAAATATTTATTAAGCTTCTGTTACTTCCCACGAGAGACACAGTGGTGATTATAGCCATACAACAGTTACCGTTTATTGAGTGCTGAGGTGGTGTGATACCAAAAACGCAGTATATTCGGTCTCTGCCCCTGACACATGCAGGTGCTGGGGGGCGCTGTGCAGAGGGTACAGAAGCTCTGCCACATTTCCCCTGGACCCTGCCCTGTGCACCTCTTCTACCTGGCTGTTCCTGAGTTGTATCCTTTTATAATAAACCAGTCATCTAGTAAGTAAAATGTTTTCTTGAGTTCTGTGAGCCCCTCCAGCAAATTATCAAACCCTTGGCAGGGGTTGTGGGAACCCCTGGTTCATAGTCAGCTGGGGAGCAGCACAGATGACCGCCTGGATGTGAAGAGCAGGGGTGGGGGCAGTGTTGTGGGGCTGAGCCCTTAACCTGCCCGGTCTGTGCTAACCCCAGATAGTAAGGGTCAGAATTGCTTGGTGTGCAAAACCCACACATTTGTTGAAACAGAAGTAATGTGAAAGTAGAGAGGAAGAAAACAGTGGGTTTTAGTTTTTTGTTTTTTGTTTTTTTTTAAAGAGAGAGCAGTAGGGGGGCTGGACAGAGGGAGAAGGATAGAGAGAATCTTAAGCAGGCTCCCTGCCCAGCCTAGAGCCTGATGCAGGGCTCAATCTCATGACCTTGAGATAATGACCTGAGCTGAAATCCAGAGTCAGATTGGTAACCAACTGAGCCACCCAGGCACCCTGAAAACAGTGGGGTTTTTAAGCACCTCCTTCATGTCTGATGATGTTTTAGAGATACCTTATATCTTCTCTTTATTGTTCTCAACTACTCAGAAAAATAACTATTATTATGTAAGTTTTATAGAGGAAGAAATTTTCCTTACCTCACTCAGTATCATACAACTAGCAGAGGTTCAAACCCAGGGCTGTCTAGCTATAAGTCTGTGGCCTCCATTACATACCCCCAAAGACAGGCACGTACCTCTCCCCCATCCAGGCTGTGTCCAAAGCAAAGCAAGCACTGTGCTAGGTGCGGTGGGCTCTGAAGGTTCTTGATGCAGACACTCACCTGCTGAGGCCAAGATAGAGTTCTGGGGACATTGGCTATGTATATAAAAGCAACACAGTCAAAGAAGATTCTGGCATCAGCTCTGGCTTTAGAACAGACATCAATCTGTTGCTGACATTTTCTTATTTACCTGTGGCTGAAAACTTGGCCTCACTCTTTTCAGAATTCAGCTTCCATAAGGGTGGTTATCTTACGTGAGTCCACACTCCAACTATCAAAATTTCTAGTTGGAGGTGACTTTACTGTAAGGTATTACTGGTGTGAGAGGGAGAAGGATGTTGGGGCAAGAGTCCAGAGGCTGAAGGACTCTTGGGGAAAGGCTGAGCTGAGGGGGAAGCCCATGGACACAGAAGTGGAGCCTTGATAAAGGAATTCTTACAAGATACCAGCTGAGCTCTGTGGACTTGAAGCTGACCCTCGGTGAAGTCATGGGACAGGTTGGAAGGACATCTCCATCCGGATCCCTGCAGCCTGCAAATGTTACCTCATTTGGAAGAAGGGTCTTTGCAGATGTTATTAAATTAAAGCATCTTGAAATGGGGATATTATCAGCAATTATCCACTTGGGCCCCAAATGTCATTGCAAGGGTCCTTAGAGAGGCAAAGGGAAATTTCACACACACACACACACACACACACACACACACACACACACACGGTGGTATGAAGACAGAACAGACAGATTTGAAGACACCAGCCTTAAAGACTGGGGGGATGGTCCCCAAGCCGAGGGATGCAGGCAGCCACCACAAACTGAAAGAGTCAAAGAACAGATCTTCTGTAGTGCCTCTAGGGGGAACGTAGCCCTGCTAGCACCTTGATTTCATCCCAGTAACACTGATTTTAGGACTATAATAAACAAGATTTGGCTTCTAGAACTGTAAGAAACCAGATTTTTGTTGTTTGAAGCCACCAAGTTTGTGGTAATTTGTTGCAGCAACCACAGGAAATTAATGGTGGCAGCTTAATGCAAGCGAAGAGGAGAGATCCCCCAGCCCAGTGATAGATGCTCCAGAGCTTGGAAAACCCTGGGATTGGGGCTTCTTGGAATGTGTGGCAAAGAATTTTTTTTTATTATGTTATGTTAATCACCATACATTACATCATTAGTTTTTGATGTAGCGTTCCATGATTCATTGTTCGAAGAATTTTTTGGAATAGCACAAATAGCTCACTTCCCAAGGAATCTCGCAACCAGGCAGGCTACCAGATGCATATTCATGGGCAAGGCAAGCTGTTGTCAGGGCGAGACCAGCAGCCAGCCATCGGGACCCCTTACTCAAAGCCCTGCCTCCTGGCCACTGTCCCCATGGTCGTTGCCCTCCTTGGGGCTTTGTAGTTAGTTGACATGTCTTCATGTCTTCGTTCTAAAAGCAGCATTGTTAGAACAAGGCAAGCGATACCTTTTCCCCCTGGAAGCCTTCTTAAACTGAGCGCATGGATGCAGCTTGTTGATTCAGAGCAAACTTCTGAAATGGACCAGGGACGCAGCCTCCTCTCCCACCATCAGTACCGAAGCCCCGGTGGCAGTGAGAAAGGAGGTGCTGTGGCCGCAGGCGGGCGCTGGGCACCGGGCGGCCGCTGGGCAGTCCCGGCCAGCACAGGTGTGCCTTCCGGCGCCCAGGTGTTTTCGGTGAGCTGAGCGTCGGTTTTGCAGCTGCGATCTCTGTCTTTGCACATCGTTGCGCTTCAGGGGAGCAAGACAGCCCATTCCGTTCCCCATCTTCTGCTCTTACATTGGAAACATAATTTGCTGCAATTCCCTCCAAACAATTTGAAAATTATACTTAAGAAGAGGGAAGCATAGCAATCAAACAGATCTTTTTGAATCATTGTCATTGGTAGAATTTTTTGCTTCTTAAAGCCTCCCACTCTGTTGTTATAGTGAGAATCTTTGCTAGAGCCCCAGTCCATAGGACTTTTTTTAAAAAGATTTTATTTACTTATTTGAGAGAGAAACAGAAAGAGAGAGAGCATGAGCTGAGGGGGGGAGGAGGGAGGGGGGAAGGGCGGCGGTGGGGAGCAGGCCATGGGAGAGGGAGAAGCAGACTCCCTGCTGAGCAGGGAGCCAGACCTGGGGCTCCATCCCAGGATCCCAAGATCATGATCTGAGCCAAAATCAGCTGCTTAACCAACTGAACCACCCAGGCGCCCCCCCCCATAAGACTTTTACATTGTAACTGGGGTGGTGAGATTGACTGCTGTAGGGGGTCTAAAGAACAGTAAGAAACAGTACATGATGTGTGGTGAGTGTCATCAGCATTCTCGTAAGATAAAGATCAATAGCAAAACCAGAACAAATCAGGGAAGGTTGTTGTTAATTCTGTGCTGATTAAGCCAGGGAGGTTGTCTTGTTGGGGTGAATAAATGGGCTGGGTTTTTGTCCTGCTGAGTTCTTTGCATTACATTGCCCCTCTCACCAATCCCTCAGGGCATTTCAACAGCCTTCTGTCACATTTATAGGAGATTTCCTATAAATAGAAAAACAATATTCTATTATACATCTCCTGGAAATCTGGCATTATGGCAGACATCAAAAAGTGAAATGGACGAGAGAAAACAACTTGACAGTAGTTCCTGAGCCCTGAGCCTGGAAGACCTTTGCTGGGAAATATTAAAGAAAGGGAGGTGCTGTTTTCACTTTAAACTAGTGACAAACAGATGCAAAATGTCCCCAAGGGACTGTGGGGGAGATCCCAGAAAGAGAAAATATAGGGAGGTTCATTATCACTTTGTGGGGACACAGCTGAAAGCCTGGTAGCAAGTAATTCGAAAAATTATATATTTTTTTGTCCACTCAGGTTATTAAAGGCCTTCCAGAATGACATTTTATATATTCGGTAACATTCCTGGCTTCCCCCAGACATGTCAGAAGTAGGGTGAAGTAACTAGATTCATAATTACCAAAGTGGGCGTTACTTTGGTTTCACATCATGTGGTTCCAGTATTAGCTCTTTATCCACACAAGATAGCCAGATGATAAACACTAAGGAATAAGGGAGTAAACTTATTTATTATTATTACTTAATAAATAAATGAATAACTCATCTTAATTACATAATTATAGATGTTAAACACTAAAGAATAAATAAGTAATCCTTATAACTTAAAAGTAACTGATTAAAGAATATAACAGAATCAAGGAATAGCTTTCTTCATATATTTTTAACCTGAGATTAAAAGTGTGAGACTCAAAAGTTTTACCCCAATAAATCCAATACTTACTAACTATAAATCATAGTACAAACTTTTGTCTTCTTCAAAAGTCCATACTGTCTCAAGGACAGAAGTCTTCCTTAAATTCAGGAACGAAAGACTTCACATGCTGTACTATTTTCCCATGAAAAATAGAAGCATTCCATTTTATTACTGCACAGAGAGCCAAAGAAGTGGGCCGTACTTTCCAACAATGGTGAACCCAGACCACACTGGATCAAGACACTTGTTCTCCCTTCCGTGCTGGGGAAGATTTACACAGTGATGGAGAAGGGGAAACAGAGAGGGCTCCCTGCCACTTTCAAAAGCTATTTCTACGTAGCCACAGGGTCAACCTCCTAGAATCTGTAGTAAGTCATCCACGATAAGGGGCTAGAGAAAGAACTCGCATCCCTGTTTTTCCACAGTGAATCCAGAGTATTTATTTAGCAAACCGTGTCAACACTTTGACTTGTCACGAATAGCTGAGAAGTAAGAAATTATTTTGTTTCTTCTTTTTCTCCTGCTTTCTTATCAAAGGGACCTGTGAAACTAGGAGTAGGTAGACTGGAGGAGATGGGGAGTATGAAGGCAGTGCCTCTGACTGACCATCTCCTAAATAACTGAAAATCAGCAATTGTTTCGGTACCTGCTTCACAGAAGAAAAGAAAAACATTCAGTTAGGAGCCAGGGGACCTACATTCTATGAGATTCTTTTACTCGGTAGCAACCGTCAAAATAACAACAAATAATTACAGATGATCAAGTTCTATTATGTGTCGGCTCTGTACGGTGCACTGCATATAAATCTGGTATTTTGTTTAATCTACAATACTCCTATAAAGTCAGTATTGCCTTGCGCACTTAACAGATGAGGAAAGTAAGGCATAAACTTGCTTGACGTGATGCTGTAGTAACAGAAAACTAGACCTCAGTGTTCTTGACTGTTAAGAGAGAGGGCGTTGTTGTTGTTTTTTCATTCAGAGACACTGTTAAGTAGCATCCCCTCTTGCCGGGTGCTCTGGGGAACTCGAGCCGTGACTGCACAAACCAGCTGTGGCCCTGTCTTCCTCTAACGGGCTGGAGTAACTCCAAGGGCCACCCCAGCTCTGCGACCTGCACTTCTGCTCCCGGTTCCTCTTTCCTGTGGCTGAACTGAATGTGTCCATATACTTTTGGTGTCCGTGTGTGCCTGCAGGTGGTGGGCCGGGGAGTGGGAAGCATGCTCAGCAACGTGTGGGCCCCACGGAGAGAAGAGGCGGACGGTGTTGTGCATCCAGACCATGGGCTCTGATGAGCAGGCTCTCCCGGCTAAAGACTGCCAGCACCTTTTGAGGCCCAAGACCCTCATTTCCTGCAACAGAGACATCTTGTGTCCATCAGACTGGACAGTAGGCAACTGGAGTGAGGTGAGCGTCATCACTTCCCCACCCCTGCCTCTTCAGTAACCAACCCAAAGTGGCTCGAGAGAAAATTGCACGATGGCTGGTGTGTATCACCTCTGGCCTGTTTCCTGCATTTCTGCCTGCCTTGTATCCGATCTTGCTTCTTTTCTGTTCTTACAGGATTTGCTTCTCACTCGTCCAGGAGTCAGACACCTGCCAGGGATGAGCTGGACCCCATTTGCCCAGGCTCTCAACAGCTAATGGGTGCATTGTCAGGATTTTTTGCTGTCCCGTTGTTAAACCATCGGCAGCAAATCAAGAGCTAGGTTGTTAAACACTTACATTTCTGTTTCCCTGAAACCGTGAGAGTTAAAACCGGACGCGTGTTGCCGTAATAGTAGAATGGTAGGCAGTGTACTTGACACTTGAAGAAGCCCCTCGAATCGTCTGTCTCTTCGGCATGGGTCAAGGCCGGACCTGACCGAGGTTTAGAACGTGTACTGTTATTAGCCACATAAATTCAAATAAGTGTTGTTGCATTTTCCCAAAATTAATCTGATCAGATCCTCTAAGTATACTTAGAAATCAGTGGGCTAGGAGGTCACGAAAAGCTCCCAGGCTTCATTTTTCTTTAGGTCACCATGGAACCTGGTCCTGTCATGCCTGGTGCTCCCGGAGTCCACTGGGTGGAGCCTTTTTTCTCCAAAAGTCCTGGAGTCTCCAGGGGCCTTGCTCTACTTCCTGGGGGCACACTGCAGTTCAGTGACCTCAGGAATGACTGCAAGTTACATGATTTTTTAAACTAACAGTCCAGACTTTATGGGTGGATGCTGACTTCTTCTGAGCTTCCTTGGAAAGCCCTGTCCTTTTCGTTAATAATGCGACCACTGACCAGAATGTCGTAGGAACTCCTCTTAGGACTCACCTTCAGACAAATGGAAAATATTTGATTCAGGAGAATGCAGTAAGTACCATCTGTACTAATAAAGGTACTCCAAAGTATTACGTAAAGAAGAATTTGAAAATTTGTATCAGCAAAGGTGCCATCTCTGAAGCTCTTTGAAAGCAGAAAACACTCATTTGAATACAGCACTGTGATAACCTTATTTCCAGAACTTTATTTCATTAGCTCACAGTCACAGTTTAGGTTTATTTAGCTTCTAAATCTGTTGTAGAATGCTTTCTTGGCATCGAGGTGAAAATAAAAAGAAAATGGCAAGTATGTTTCCTGTGTTGTAAGAACTTCCTATCAAATGGAAGAGATGGGACCAAAAACCGAAAGGAAGGAAGGTAGAGAGAGAGAGAGAGAGACAGAGACGGAGAGAAAGAAAGAGAGAAAGAAAGAAAAATACCAGCAAAGAAAACATACCTGCAAACTAATAGCATACTACGAATCTGTGCACATATCAGCAACGGGGCTGATCCTGGGAGGGGGCAGTGAGAGCCTGTGGCCGGCCTGGCCTGTTAGGCCACCACCAGCCTGGATTGCTATAAATTACAGTGTTGTCAAAATAAGGCTGGACAAGGTATCGTGACTGGTCCATTACATCTGTTTACTAGTTTGGGCTGCATCCAAAGCAGTCCATAATTCTTGTCGAGTAGAATTTACTAATTGCCAGATTCTTTGTGCTTTTTTAAAGGACTACAATTACATATTTGGCTGAGAAGTTCTTCTTACTGTGCTCATGTTTATGGGGAACAAAATGATGTGCCTTAACTGGAGAACAAGGGACAAAAAGTTGGCACGATGTGACAAGTACTCGTGTCTGTGGTCCCAAATACAGGCCATTGCATAGTGTATTGTGAGCAGACATGGGATTCAGTTTCTGGCTTCCACTGGATGGAGTCGAGCAGAAAGGCTGAGCCCTGGGATGCTGTCATGAGAGGTGATTTTAGTTAAATCAGCATGGAAATATTCACCCAGTGGATCTCCCTTTCTTCCCTCTGCTGTCCTGCTAATGTCTGTATATGTGAGCCCTCTAATGAGCTTTTCTGGAATATGAGGAAATGTCTCTGATAGTCTAACTAGGCCCAGATACATTTTTAAGAGAGATGATGCAGTGCTGTATTCTTGCTATCATAGTGTTTATGGTCTGGATCTTGTCTTGAGATTGGCATTAATTGACGCAGGGTATAGCGCTCCAGAGATACCTCATGATTTGGTCTGTACTGGGCTGTCTGGGTCACCCTGGATGTCGGAAGCTAGGAGGTAACTGGGCCAAAAGATCCAAGAACTATGAGGCTCCTGCTGAGTCATCCTCTCTGGGCTGACTTCCCTTCCCTGCCAAGACACCTCTGCCAACCCAAGCAACGAGAGGAGGGTGGGCTCAGTTGTGCCAGGCTGGCACCCTCATCCCTGACCCAGCAGGGGTCTGAAGGAGGACCTAGCGAGAGCTGGGGGGCCCTTTCTGCCCGTCTGACCAGGCCCTCCCTCTCTAAGCTCATGCCCTGAACACTGACTCCTACCCCCAATCTCAGATTTCACCAAGAATCTTGCTCTGTTTTCACCCAATCTACTTTCTGGGCGTGAAGGGTAAAGAAGGAGGACTGGATTTGTTGTAAACACAGTATCAGAGTTTCTGTGGCCCCCATTTTTATTAGGTATACCGCTTCAGTGACATGCCTTGTCTAGTGGTGAAGGACATGCACGGTCTCAGGGGTATGGGTCCCTGGGTTCGAATCCTGGCTCTGCCACTTATTAGATGTGTGACTTTAATCTCTTTGTGATTCCTTTTAGTTTTCTGTGGCTCGTTTTCTCCATCCATGAAGCAGGAATAACAGCAGTACTTAGACCCAAGAGACGCTATGAGGATGAAATGAGTTAATAGTTCCAAACTTCTTACTAGAACAGTGCCTGGGACATAGTAAGCTGTAGATACAGTCATTTCCTAGCAGAGTAAGTAGATGGGAATAACATCATCTATCATTTGTTGAGTGCTTTTCACACTGTAGGGTTCGTTTCATTTAACGTTTAAGATAACTCCATGAGGTTGATGTTCATGAATTCCCCTCTTACTCCTGGCAGTTAGACACTAATAGATTTAGTGGGAGAGTAATTTTCCTACGTTTTCTAGCTCTGACAATCCCTAATTGTGTGGTCTTGAGCTAGTGTTAACCGCCCCGCCCCCCCCCCACCGCCCCCACCAGCCTTTTCTCATTTATAAAGACAGGGTTAATGTGAGGCTTGAAGATAATCCACCGAAGCCCTTTGAGCAGTGTCCACAAATAGTGTTTGCTAAATGGTAACTTCATTCTCAAGCAAGAAGGCCAGTGTCTATCTTCTATGCTACCCTGATTTTGTAAGCCTTGTCCAGTTGGTGGCACCCAGATGCCCTGACAGAATTGATCTGTGCCCCTCTGCATTTTCATCTAGACCCTCGCCCCAAGGTCAGGGCCATTTTCTGCATGGAGCACTGTAAGCATGAGGGTTGGGTCAAGGGTCTACAGAAATGTTTGAGTCCAAACGAAAAAGCTAATGGATGGTTTCCATAAAAACAAAGGACACAGCAAAATCATAAATCAGTATTGAATTACATATTAATGGCAGGTACCCATTGGATACTTACTGGTATTACTATTAAACACTTTTATAGGTATTAACACAATACCTCCTAACAGCCTTATTAACCTCATTTTACAGGTGAAGAAACTGAGGCATAGAGATGTTTAGAGACTCGTTCTTTAAGCAGTGGAGCCAGGATTTGAATGCAGAGTTTTACTGGGAACACTCTGCCATATGTATCTCACACGTCTACAAAATACAACAATCTGACAGCCCGTAGTATTCATAAAAAATCATATTATGTTTGGAAACAATTTAGAGATCAGCTTTTGTCACTTTGCTGGAATTCCAGACTAAGCCTAACGATTGCTGAGAAATCAGAGCCCTCTTAAATAAGTTGCTCCCCCCCAAATACTTCTAAAGCAAAAGAAGAAAAAGCCTTTCAGATGGTTTTTAGAGCAAAAAAAAAAATTATGATATTTCCCTTGAGACTAGAGATGTTTTTTTAACATACTTGACGAGGCGTGGGGCGGCCCCCGAGCCCTTTGTGTGCCTGATGAAAGCACACAGACAAATGAACAAAACAATTAACCAACTTACTGAGACTCTGTCAAGTGCAAAGCGGTTCACATGGGTGTTGGAGCATCCGAGTGACCAGAGAAACTAAATGCTGATGTTCGCAAACAATCTCTCCTGCCTCCTCAGACAGAATCGCCCACAGCGAACACCAGCAGCGTGTCTGTGGCTAAACGAGAAGCAAAGGGAACTCTTGTGTGAAGCCTCACAGAAATGCCTGCAGACCGAAGGAGGACGGAGCAGGAGGGCGAGGAGACACTTCTGAGTCGCTTACCTGTGGTACTCCCCAGTTTGAGTTAAGGTCCAAGGCACTTCTGTGGGGCTGGACCACCTCGTCCTGTGGCAGGGGATGTCTGTGCACCAGCATGTCAGTGCCCCTCGGATGTCAGCAGCCTGTGCTTTGCCCGGTTTCCTGGAGAACACATACAGGCATCCTCGTTTGACACAAGTACTCACAGAAAACCAGTTGGGGGCCATGTTGATTCTCTTCATTCTGTCTGATATACTTTTTAAATTATCTAGGGTACTGTATTAGTTTGCTAGGGCTGCCATGACAGAGAACAGCAAACGGGGTGGTTTAAACAACAGAAATGTATCGTCTCACAGCTCTGGAGGCCAGAAGTCCAAGATCAAGGTGTTGGCAGAGTTGGTTCCTTCTCGAGGCTGTGAGGGACAGTCTGTTCCATGCCTTCCAGCTTCTGGTGGCCTTTGACTTCCTTGGCTTGTAGTTGTCAACACCCTGATCTCCGCTTTCATCTTCAGTGGCATTGTCCCTATGTGTGTGTCTCTGTATCTGAATTCCCCTTTTCATAAGGACAGTGGTCATATTGGATTAAGACCCACCTGGGGACCTCATTTTAACTTGATTACCTCTGTAAAGGCGCCATGTCCAAATAAGTTTCCATTCTGAGGTCTAGGGGGAGGGGGTGGGCAGGGGTTAAGACTCCAGTATATCTTTTTGTGGGGGGACACAGTTCAACCCATAAGAGCTACCTAAGTTTTTCAGCTTACTTTCAAAGCTGGTTTTAGCATTAGATCCAATCATTCATTTATAAATTCCCGAGACTACACAATGAATGTTTTTATGGCAAAGCACTAGCTATTTCTCTCCTCGGCCCTTTAGCTGTAACTCTGTGATGAGCCCCGACTGTGTTTTTGAAAAAACTCTCAGCACTGCAGCTCTGAGCCCTTTGTGAGCTCCCCTCTCCCACAGTGCACCTGAGGTGGGTGGCTTGACTCATTTAGAAGCAACCCTCTTTCTCAGCGGGCTCCCCACAGGCCTTCATCTTGGAGGAATGACAAGTGAGAGCAAGATGACTCCCCGGGAGGACAGGAGCAGACTGACGAGCTGCTGGCCTGGTACAGAGTTCAAAATTATAAGGTCAGGGCACGAAGTCATCATAGCAGATGCTGGCTTTGAGAGTTCCGAAACTACCCATCAGGATGAGTTCTGAGTGCAGCATTGTGCCCTGCGTTTATCTCATCTGAAGGGCTTGACAGCTCCTAAGGAGATAATCGCAGGTGGAAGATGTATCGGAAGGAGCATGGGGCTGAGGACAAACCAGTGCTGCCTGTTCCCGGTGTGGCTACGAGAAAAGGCAACTTCGTTTGTAGGCCCCGTACAGACTTGGTAGATCGTTAACACTGTCCCGCTGGGCACGATACGCCCCGGGGCTGAAGAATGGCATCCTTGGGCTACTTGGAAGCTTCCGGGTCTGTGGGTGAGGGAAGCAGGTGGGGATGAAAGGTAGGTGTGCTGGAGAACATAAGAACCGCTCCCAGACCCCGGGCTCCGTGAAGGAAGTTGTGAGGTGCCATTTGAGAATGGCGCCAGTAATTGCAGATCCTCTGCTTTTTTGAGAGAAGCTAAAAATAAGGAATTTTAATATGAAATCTGCTTTAAGTGTTGGCTACTAATTCAGTGTTTGTATTTCGTCTGTTTGCTTGTTTGTTTTAAGACTGAGCAAGCCAGGGGCGCCTGGGTGGCTCAGTCCGTTACGCATCCAACTCCTGATTAGGGCTCAGGTCATGATCTCAGGGTCGTGAGGTCGAGTCCCGTGTCCGGCTCCGTGCTGGGCGTGGAGCCTGCTTGAGATTCTCTCTCTCTCCTTCCCCCTCCACCTCTCCTTGCCACCGTTTTTTTAAAAAAAGAGAAAGAGACAAAAAAGATTGGGCAGGCCAAAGAATTAATGTTTTGGGTCAAATGTAGTCCTGAGGCTGCCACTTTGGGATCTCTGTTCTAGAGTAATCTTCAGTTTTAAAAGCTCAAAATCTAATGTATTTTCACTAAACAACCCGTTAAATAGCTTTTATTTACTCCTGTTTTATTCTTTTAGGTTGAGCAAATTCACACAGTGGTAAATAAGGTTATTTAATACGTGTAATTTATAAATTCTAAAAAATATATATATGTATCCATCTGTTAACCTTAGGAAATCTAAATCTTAAAAAATCTAGCAACAAACCAGTGGGATGGGTGGATATCCACAGTATCTTCTAGATATGTGCCTACAAGTACTTCACCCAGGCAGCTGCTCACCTCGTAGCTTCCCACAGACAGGTGTGTGTCTCTGGGCTTCCCTGTGGACATGATAAGCATTTGAAGTCGAAACAAACAAACAAAGGAATGAAGAGAAAGAAAAGAAAAATCAGAGGGCTTCCTGCCATGTAGCTGTCTACTCTGACATTTCTTGGAAAGAAAAAACCCAAAGGGAGGTGCACCTGCCACTTGAGGACCATTGGCGTCAGCCGGGGCCTCTTTCAAGGGCCAGCTCTCGAAACCCAGCCTGCCTGAGGCAAGCAGCGCAGAAATGTGTTCAGACCTACGTGAAGGGTGTTTGGTTGAATGGATCTTTTTTCCAAAGTGGAGATTTGAAAACTCAAGGGGTTTGGATTAGAATGTAACAAGTGGAGAGCCAGTGAGGAAGACGAAGCGGACAGCGCTTTAAGGCACCTTCGCACAGAAGAAGGCAGAAATACTGTAGTAAACCAGGAAAGTAACAGGCTCCGGGCTGCCCTTGCCAGGTTCCAAAGTGAGGCGACCCCAGTTCCGCAGCTGAGTGCGCTCTCAGCTGCACGGTCTCCTGTGCTGACAAGCTTCTCCTGCTTTTCAAAGGATCTGCTTTCCCAGAGCTCGCGGACATCAGGGAGAAATGATGCTTGACTGGAACAAGATAAAGGGGGAGTTTTATACATCCATATTATTTTCCTACACCGAGGAAATTAAAAATAGGACTCGAGAAGGCAAGAAACTTAAGCTAAAAAATGCATAAGCTCACAGAATTTTCCCATTCCTGTTTTTTTTTCCCGGGTAAAGTAGTCACTTAATAAATGTGTATCAGGTGATCGCTGTGTCCCAAGAACTATCCTAGAATTCAGTTATGAATAAGAACTAGTTCCTGCCTTTGGGTAGCTTTTCGGAAATTGAGAGCTTGTGGTCAAGAGCGGAAATCAGTGGATGGTTATCAGTCAGTGTGTTGCACTAGATTTCATGGAGGCTGTGAAATAAATCTGATTTTACTCTGCCACCGACTTGCAGCCTTTCCAGCAAGTCCCTGAGTCTCAGCCTCCTCTCCCGTGGAAGGCAGAATCCTAATTCCTGCCTTATAGATCTCGCAGGGCCATCGTCAGTATCACACAGAATTGTGGCTGTGAGCCCCTGGAAATCCGCCAAGCATTATGCAATCCCCGTCCTCAAGAAACCCGCTTTGAGGTCAGGAATGTAAGCCAGACAAATGTGAAACAGCCCATGAAGACCCCTGGAGGTTCATATTCAAGTGCAGTACATTTGGTGGCTGACTTAAAATTGGAAAGGAAAGGCACATAGAGCTGTCTGGTAAAAGTATAGATTTTTTCCAAACATCTAGAAATTTAGGGTGATATAGCAAGTAGATGTAGTTTGCAGCTGCTGAGACTGAGGAAATAATGATTCTTTACCACGAATCCTGAGGAAAGACTATCCTGTTAGGATTCCTCTAAAAGTGCTCTAGCTGCCTGTGCTTGGCGTACCCTATAGAATGTGGAGGGAACATGGCGGGCGGTGGTACCAGCCATGGCCCCTCATATTGGCACCATGCTACGGGACTCACTTTTTGGAAAGGGTATCTCTCTACTTCGATTAATTACCCACCTTTCAATTTCAGAATAGGTCCTGGACCTGTGTACGGGTGTGAGTATGATGGTTGTCTAGCTTTTAATCTGATTCCACCTGACATAGGCAAGTGGACATGGAGCCGGTGTGCCTGGGTGAGACTCTGTCAGTTACACTGGGTGTTTTCTAAATATAAAGGGAAGGTTTGTTATAACCAAAGACTCCAGAAAATATATAAACAGTTTGTGTTAATTTAACAGCATCACAACCCTAGGAAAGATAATCTTACCATCTCTTAAAAAGAGTAGGTAACTCGTATACATCATTGCACTTTCTGTGAATTTTCTGTCCTGTGTTCAGAGCCCAGGGAGACTTCAGTTTTACTATGTCGTGGCTTATATATTCAGTTTGCGAAGAGTAAATGGTTGGTCCTGAGCCCCCTCTGGTCTCCAGCAGATACCTATTTCCTTGGAGAACTAAAGGAGCTCAGAAACCAGATATAAAGATGGAAGAAAACAAGTTCGGCTGCCCAGCTCCGTTTCCATCGGGCCAGTTCTCGCCTGTTGTAAACCTGAGCATGAGAGAACCAGTGCACCTTTCCCATGAATCTAACAGCTGTCTCTCTTTTCCAGTGTTCTGTTTCCTGCGGCGGTGGAGTGCGGATCCGCAGTGTCACGTGTGCCAAGAACCATGACGAACCTTGCGATGTGACAAGGAAACCCAACAGCCGAGCTCTTTGTGGCCTCCAGCAATGCCCTTCTGTCCGAAGAGTTCTGAAACCCCACAAAGGCATGATTCCCAGTGGGAAAAAGCTCCCAACATCTGAGCCGGACCCCCTGAAGCCCATCCTTCCAACTCCATTCAGTCCCAGAACGCTGAGCACACCCACGGTGCCCGGGCCTGTGAGCACAAGCGCTCGGGCCGTCAGCAGCCCCGGTCCTACCACGGCCCCCGCACAAGGAGACCTGGATGCCAAACGGTGTCAGAATAGTTCACGCCAAACTGAACCGGGCTCCAATTATGTCCTTTCCACCGGAAGTACTTCCCAGCCCATCCTCACTTCCTGGGCTTTGAGTATCCAGCCAAATGAAGAGAATGTTCCCAATTCAGACACTGCTCCTACCTCACAGGGAGACCTTTTCACCACGACAGTGACTGGTGCTGATTTGCCGTCTTCCGGCAAGCCTGTGACATGGCAGGTGACTCCATTTTACAATACCTTGACCAAAGAGCCAGGGATAGAGATTCATAGTGGCTCAGGGGAAGACAGTGAACAGTCTGAGAACAAAAATGAAAACAAGTCCGTAACATGGACTAAAATCAGAGTAGCCGGAAATGATGCTTCCGTGGTGAGAAGTACGGAAATGCCCTTTGGGCCTCCACCAACACCTTATCTCTGGGCACCCTTCAGCACAGCGATGGAAGGTCTGCTGCCCAGCCAAAGTCCTGCTACTCTCAAAAATGGTGCGCCTGGCGCTGAGGGGATGGCCACTGAAAAGCCAGCAAACACTCCATTCCCTCTGGGAGGAGACCGCCGGCCAGCACCAACAGAACACGCGGTCCGCCATAACCCTCCAGAACTTCCAAGCAACGCCAATCTAACGCAGGGTTCCGGACTGGTCCTGACCGAGGAAGATGCAACAAGTCTGATCGCTGAGGGGTTTTTGCTCAATGCTTCGGATTACAAGGAGCTCTCAACAGGCGGCGGCTCCGCATACTGGATTGTTGGAAACTGGAGTGAGGTAGGAGCTCCATTTCTCACCCCATGCCCGACTCTGTAGGGAAATAGCTAGGGCTCTTGCATTCTTGTGCAGATTTCAAAATGGGCTTGTATAAGATCTAGCCCGATGTAGAAGAAACGTGAAGCAGTCAGGTCCATGCCCTCACCTCCCTCCTCTCCTCCCTAACTCCAAAAAGGAGAGAGGGAAAAATAAAAATCTCCGGGGAGGGAGGACAAATATGGTGCGATAAAGTGAAAAGAACTCTGAACTAAGGAGGGCTGGGCAAGCCAGCTGTGAGAGAGCGGAGAACTCAGTCCATGTTTCAGAAGCCGCTTCTTACCTACGGGGTGGTGGCGCTGGTGTAGACCACCCACAACACGCCCCCAGCTTCGAACCGCTGAGGAGCGGCTGGAAGGGCCTGAGGTAGCATTTCACTCGCAAAGCTGATGTTGGGACTCTAGATCTGTCAGGTAATCCTAATTGGAGTGGGAATTGAAGATAAAGTTCCTTAAATGCATTCTCTAACTCAGTGTTATCAATGGTTTTCTTTTCTTGTTGGTCTGTTTGAGTACTTGCATGAAAAAAAATCATTTTGGCTCATTAAAAGAATTAGAATATGGAAGAAGAAGAGAATAAATATGACGACAGAATGTTGGCCCCTGTTTTCAAGCTTCAGAAATTTGGCTAAATACTTGTTTTTCCATTTCTAGAACTAATTAGTGTCCTTTGAAGCATCAAAATCATTTTCACCCGTTTGAATTTTGAATGCACGGTCTATGAACTTGTTAAAATAATTTGACAACTCAAAAGAGGACTTTGTGGCAAAATAATCACATGTTCAAATTAGTCAGCATTTTTGTGACGATACATGACTTCTCTCCCTGGCCAAAGAGAAATGAAGTATTTGCAGCTAATATAACTACAGTACATTTAATTTATAAAGCATGTTAATTTCCAAACCACTTTCATATCTAGTTCTTGTTTTCTCCTTTTGACAATCCTGAGGAGCAGGTAAGGTCTCATTTATGCCAATTTGCAGATAGAGAAAATAAAATTTGTGGCAGTCAAGTGACTTGTCTAAAGACATAATTGTCAGTTGGATGATGAACCTTCTAACTCCACTCTATTCCATTTGTAAAAAATACATTATCTCTGAGTAAAGTGTGGTGTACCTGTAAATTAAACCAAAATAAAAGTATATATTTGCTCAGATGATCATAGAGGCCAGAAGTCAATTGATACATTTTGATTATAGTAAATCAAGCTACCCTTGACTTATTGCAAATGTCATCATTTGTCTTTGACAGAAATAAACTGTCTTACAGAATACATCATAGCTCACCAAAAATTTGACAACCATGGTGAAGCCACTGAGAGCTGTTAATTCCAGGTAGTTTGACTAGAAAAAGGGACTTGGTCCACATTGCAGTTTTTCAGAGCTGCGAAGGATATTATGAGAACAGAGTTCAACATTTGGCAGAAATTCCCTTTGTGATAGGGTTGGGTTGCCTGCCCCCTTTATACATCTTTTGAGACAAAATCTTTAATACACAGAATTGTCAGAGAGGATCAGGACTCAGAATGAAAACTTTGGTTTTCCCACTGTCCTGTGACTTTTTTATTCTGTCCATTTCTGAAGCTGTTTCTTTAGGATGGCCTCTCAGTCACCCCATTGATATCAGTCTTCCCCAAGCCCCCTATAAAAACCCGGACAGGTTTTCAAGTCAGTGTCACCTCATCATCTCTGTCATCTCTTTATTTCCTGTTCGTTTGGGGCCAGTGGTTTCCAGTCTAATGGCGGGAGGCACGTGGAGAAGAGTGGGATGCTTTTGTTTGTTCCGGTGATGGGGGAGGGGGCCGCTACCCACACTGAGTATCTGAGAGCCGAAGATTATAAATCCCTGCGACATTCAGGGCAGTCTCTTATAAGGAAGAATTGTCCGGTCCAATGCCAGCAGTGACCCAATAGTCAAGAAAGGAGCCTCAGTTACTGCTCTCGGCTCCTCGCTGGTCTGAGCACCTCCAGCCTCTCCCCTCGGCAGCGCTTTCCACACGTCATCACAAGAGACCTAAGATTGCCAAGTTAGTCTTTGGAAAGAATTCGCTAATCATTCCAAACTCCTGCTCACAAATCTTTCCTGTCTCTTCATTATTCAGATAAACCGACTCGGACAGTACAACAGCTTTACTTGCCTCCCCTCTGCCTCACCATCTTTAGCTTCAGCAGATCGAAACTGCTCGGTTTCCCCTAAGCCTCCTGCCCCGCTCAGTCTGTTTACGTTGTTCCCTCTGCCTTGAAGTGCCTTCTCCTCCTCCTCTGCCCTTGTGAATCCTGCCCTGTTCTTCAGGACCAAACTTTGAGCTGCTTCTTCCAGAAAGCCTCTCCTGACCCCTAAGATTGGAAGTCATTTCTAAAGCTCCTTATCATTTGATCCGAAATCGCTCTCACCATGTCCCCCCACTTTCTGTCCTGTGTGGAAGGGCTGCTCAGGCTCCCCGTTGTACACAATACGTTCCTCAGATTGTGACTTCAAAAATTAAAGAATGGATATAAAGACTAAGTTAACACCATAAAAAGACACTAAAGCTTGAAACCAGACTTTCTGGGCTGGAATCCTGCTCGGCCACTCACTGTGTCCTCACATACCCAGGTTCCTCATCTGTGTAACAAGGACAGTGACAATGCCCGACTCAAAGATCGGTAGGGGGTAAAAGGAGTAACTATGTGTAAGGTACTCGGGAGAGTATGGGGCACATAGGAAGCACCCAGTAAGTGTTTGCTCTGGTATCTGTTTACAAGCAGAAAACCTAGGCGCTATGCAGTGTGCGTGGTGTGGCTCTTACGTGGTCAGAAAATCACGTCTCACTGAATTGCCCCGTCATCCGGTCAGATCCCCAGGGCTGGTCGTTACATGTCATCTGTGCAGTTGTGTGAACTGACAGAACGATTTTCCGGAGCCATTCACGGCAGTTCTCACGTGATTCCGATGCAGCCCTCCTTGTTAGTTCCGGTTCTGAACATCCCGAAACCTGCTCCTTGACCTGGTACATCGGTGGCCACAGGGCCACTAGCAAACCTAACAAGGATGAAGGTTTCCAGGAAAAAGTGAAGTCCTTCCGCCTCCTCAGGGTCCCACTTTCTTGTCTCATCCCTCACTCCCAGTTTGAAACTAATACAAGTGACAGTTGATGGAACCCCATCTCACTTTTACTGTGTTCCGTGCTTTTCCCTCTGTCAGCTTTCCCTTCGCGCTGTTGTTGGCTGCCTCCGTAAAAACTGTCAAAAGGAATTAAATGTCTGCTCACGGGATCTGAATCTGGCAGGACTAAAGTCAGAGCCCCAGAGACAACATGCATTTATTTGCTACACAAATATGGTACAAAGAGTCCTAGACACCACTTGAGATTTACCAGGTTATCACTAGCCTGGGAATTCCATCTCAACTAGGTCCTTTCCTGGGTTTGGGCAAATATATTTTTCTCTCTGTCATAATATGAAATTAACAAGAGACACAATGTGGCCTTGAACGTGGCTTCTGTCTCTGGGCCCCAGATACCCGGAAAGTGGGACTCACAATGTTGACCTCGCAGCTGTGTTGTGTTTAATAGGTAACATTTGTAGAGTCCTGACCATGTGCATAAATCTCTGTGGTCCTAATGTTACCACCAGTTTTATAGGCTAGGGAGTTAGGAAACTGCGAAAGATCACACCATTAGCTAACTGCAGAATTTTAATTGTACCCCAAGTCTCAGAAGGCTAGAGAAAATGTAGGAAAGATACCTGTTATGTGGTTGTATCTGTTGCCTATTGCTACAATAATGCTAGATGACAAACCACCACAAAACCTCAGAGTTTTGTTCATGAGTCTATGGATCATCTGGGAGGTTCTGCTGAGTGGGGCTGAGCTCAGCAGATCTCAGCTTCACTTGCCATGCATCCGTTGGAGGGTCGGCTGTAGGCCGCACCTGGGAGCTGGTTAGAGATGCAGAATCTGCAACTCCACCCCAGACCTGCTGACTCAGCCCCTGCATTTAGCAAGGTGCCCAGGTGACGCCTATGGAGGCTGAAGTTCGAGAGGAACTGCTCTAACAGATAGCATATGGCGTTTTGGAGGCAGAGAGCCCCGGGCTTACTCCTTGGTCAAGCCAGCTCTCCGAGCCTCGTGGGGTTTATTCTGCACTGTGACAATCCCGGTCTACCTATGGGTTTGTCGTGGAGAGGAGGAAGTGACATAAGGTCATTGCGGTGTTCTAACAGGCAGATGCGTGGATCTGACACCCCCTGTGCACTGACTGACAGCACTGATAAGAAGTGCAGTGGGCATTCGGTCTGCAGCCCCCAGACATTCCGGCCAGGATGATTTTTAAAGAGAAGCAGATTTCCCCTTGCTTTTCTTCTCATGCACTGATCAGAGATTCTCATCGCAGGCTGTTTATTAGAATCACCTGGGGCATTTCTTTTTTTTTTCTTTTTAAGATTTTATTTATTCATTTGACAGAGAGAGAGAGCATAAGCAGGGGGAGCAGAGGCAGAGGGAGAAGCAGGCTCCCCGCCGAGCAGGGAGCCGGAC